TCTGGGTGACAGAGTGAGACTCCAACTCAAAAAAAAAAAAAGAAAAGAAAAGAAAAGGGAGCCAGGCATACAGAGAAGCTTGTTAGTACATCATATACATAATATTGCCTCAGGCTGACCCAACTATCATCTGAACGTTAGTGGTCAATTTGCCAGGTGGAGTGCATGCTTTCTAGTTAAGTTTTCTATTGTTCTATTTGTATTTGCTGTGTCTGTCTGTCTCCTTGAACTCAAACATCTTGCACTAGGCAGTACTTGTGCTCACCACAATCTTCTCTGTTGCCTCCTCTCTGACTACTTTGCTTCTAGTTCCCTGTCTTTTTTTCTCCTTTGTTTCAGAGCTTCTAGTCTTCACCTCGGTCCTGCCCCAGCCATCTCTACAGAGACTTCATTGGTCATCTAACAAAATCAGAGAATAGTCCCCACCCCCTCAACCTCTCTCCTAACTATTTACAGGATGTTAGGCGAGCTTTTTTGTCAGTTCAGGTAATGTTTCTGAAACTTCCTTTTGTGCTGCTATGGCTCCATCACTCTGCGCCAGGGTTGCTGTTTTGCTGTTGTTGTTTTGTTTTTCTCGCTTTTATTTTCTTTTAAAGATGTGGGGTACAATTCAGGATTAGGTATATAAATGGTCGTTGTACAGGTAAAGTTTGGGCCTCCCTTTGGTCCCCACATTGCCTGGTTTGAGATCAGGTATTCTTATTGATGTTATGTCCCTTCCTCCCCCAACCCAGCAGTATCCCACTACTGCCAATCCCTTTCTTATAGTATTATGGTAAATGTTCAGGTTCCACTTATGAGTGAGAACATGTGGTACTCTGTTCTTTGTTTCTGTGATAGATCACTGAGTATGATAGACTCTAAATCCATCCAAGTTGCTGCGAAGTCCATGTTTTTCCTTCTTTATGGCTGCGTAATATTCCATTGTGTATATGTACCACATTTTAAAAATCCAGTCCAGTTTCGATGGGCAGCATGGTTGGTTCCATGTTTTTACTATTGTGAATAGTGTGCAGCCACTGTTAAGGGCTGCCTTGGGGCAAAGCACCCAGCCGACCTCTGTGCAACTGTCAGAGGAAACAGGAGACACAATCTCACCTCTCTATGTGTCCATGTGGCATTTTGAATTTGCAATAGGACTGGCAAACTTATTTTCTCTGAGACTTTCATGGGAGCCAAGTGCTCCAAGTATGAAGTGTTGTCTGAGTTGCTATTATGACTGCTGCTTTAATAATGCAGAAGAATCAGGCATGTGTCATGAGAATTTATTCCCCAGGAATATGATGATGATCTCTGTTGTTGAAAAGGAAGGAGGTCCATGTTTTCTGGCATGACAAATAACTAGAAGGTTGGCCTCCTGACAAGACATCCAAACCATAGGTGTGTGATGTGTCCAATTGAAATCCAGGCCATACTGACTTGACTTTAATTGGCTCAGTTTCCACATTTTCTCTAACTTCTCTCTCATAGCACAATTTTGTTCAGTTTTATTGTTTGATGTGTCCAATTGAAATCCAGGTCATACTGACTTGACTTTAATTGGCTCAGTTTCCACATTTTCTCTAACTTCTCTCTCATAGCACAATTTTGTTCAGTTTTATTGTTTGAGCAAATGACTCAGTTTTCTCAATGGTATTGCACAGAAGAGGGGAGGTAGAGAAGAAGTATTAAGTGTGCCTATGAGCAGGCTCTCTCGTTCGCACATCCATCCAGTGAGCTGGAAGACGCGAGGGAGGAGGATGAATCCTCTTCATGGGAGGTGTGTGTTTTTCAGATTGCTGGCATCATCTCGGCTGTGATTGTGATGATCGCCATTGTTGCCCTGGGGAAGCTTCTGGAGCCCTTGCAGAAGGTATAATCGTGCTTCTCTGCACGCCAATTGCATAATTTCCCTTCACTACTCTGCTACCAAAGAAATAACAGGAGACTGAAAAATCATCACATAAGAAGCCATTTCCCTGAATAACACAGCCTTCTCTGTCTCTCTTGGCAGTCAGTCTTGGCAGCTGTTGTCATTGCCAACCTGAAGGGGATGTTTATGCAGGTGTGTGACGTTCCTCGTCTGTGGAGGCAGAATAAAATTGATGCTGTAAGTCACCTGCCACCCATTTTTCTCTTAAATAAGATATTGTTCTTACATGCTTCCTGCTATATCACTCTATCCCCCGTCTCCCAAGTCTTATTTGTACTTTGTGAACCCCAGAGCGGAAATTAGAATTGTGTGGATAAGGCCAGGCATGGTGGCTCATGCCTGTCATCCCAGCACTTTGGGAGACTGAGGCAAAAGAATTGCCTGAGCCCAGGAGTTTTGACCAGCCTGAGCAACATGGCAAGATGTATCAACAACAAATCAAAAAATTAGCTGGGTGTGGTGGCACACACCTATAGTCCCAGCTACTTGGGAGGTTGAGGCAGAGAGATCATCTGAGCCCAGGAGGTCAAAGCTGTGGTCGTTGTGAGCATGCCACTACACTCCAGCCTGGGTGATAGAGTGAGACTCCGACTTAAAAAAAGAAAGAAAGAAAAAGAAGAATTGTGTGGATAAACCAAAGCCATGAAGTCTCCCATGTGAACTGCATTTTGTGATCTTGTGTCTCTGGTAAGGTCCATTTCCAAGAGGAATTCCAAATGAGGCTCATTCATACACCCTTGGCCTTCTAAAGCCAGAAAGCAACCAAAAAATTTGTTTAAACCCAGTTTGGAAGGACAAACAAAACACAAAACTATGCAAAAACAAAATACAAAAACCCATGCTGATTTTAATCCTGACATACTTCATAACTATTCTGAGAAATTGCAAAGCCTAGATGCTAAAGCCTTTAGGGTTCTGCTCTACTTTAAACCATGACAGATAAAAAGAATGAGAAAACTTCCTACATATTGATATGGAAAGCTCTCCAAGACAAATTGTTAAGTGAAAAAGAGACCAGAATAGAAATGCTGGGAAAAGCACAGACACACATGCAGAAATAACAAAGGATACAAGGAAGGAGGATGGATAGAAAAGGGAGAGGGTTGTGAGCAAGAGTTTTCACCAAACACCTTAATATTAATTCCCATTTGAACCATACAAATATATGACCTATTCAAAAGTTTAAAAATAAATAAAATAGGACAGTGGGTCTTAATTTGGAAGGCCAGTTTTTTCTTTCTTTCTTTCTTTTTTTTTTTTTTTTTTAGAGGTCTTACTTTGTCACCCAGGCTGGAGTGCAGTAGCATGATCATGGCTCACCGCAGTTTCAACCTCCTGGGTTGAGGTGATCCTTCCTCTTTGGCCTCCTGAGTAGCTGGGACTACAGGTGTACACCACCCAGCTAAGTTTTTAATTTTTTTTTAGTTGGAGTCTCACTCTGGCACCTAGGCTGGAGTGCAGTGGCACACTCACGGCCATGCCAGCATCAACCTGCTGGGCTCCGGTGATCCTTCCACTTCAGCCTTCCAAGTAGCCGGAACTACAGATGCATACTACAATGCCCAGCTAATTTTTTTTTTTTTTTATTGAGAGACGAGGTCTTGCCAAGTTGCCCGGCTGGTCTCAAACCTGTGGGTTCAGGCAATCAATTCACTTGCTTTGGCCTCCCAAAGTGCTGGGATTACAGGCTGAGCCACCGAGTCTGGCCAGTTTTTTATTTTTGTGGAGACGAGGTCTCACTGTATTGCCTAAGCTGGTCTCAAACTCCTGGGCTCAAGTGATCCCCCCAACTCAGCTTCCCAAAGTGCGGATTGCAGGTGCGAGCCACTGTGCCCAGCTAGTTTCTATTTCCACTTAAATATGAAACGAATGAAATTACAGTATTTTTAAAAAGCTGTAATTTGTTTGTAGATCATTGAGCTTATTTTTTTAAGTAGTCTATCACCTGATGGTTTCTGATGAATTAATATAATTCTTTTCATTTCTGTGTTATTCTAGGTTATCTGGGTGTTTACGTGTGTAGTTTCCATCATTCTGGGGCTGGATCTCGGTTTACTAGCTGGCCTTATATTTGGACTACTGACTGTTGTCCTGAGAGTTCAGTTGTGAGTAATATAAAGCCCAGATTTCCTATAAACAGGACAACACACCCTGATCTTTCTTATGTCGTTTTGCTAAATACGGCTATCTAGTAGCTTCTTTCTAATAGTTACTATATATTGAATGCTTTTATGAATTAAGCACACAGCGCCTTACAGACATTATTTAATCTTAACAAATATCATATGAGTAGGTTTGATTATTCTTATTCTATAGATGAAAAAAATTGAAGTCCAGAAAAGTTAAGATTCTTCCCTAATGTTACACAGTTAGAAATTGGCAGAGCCAAGATTTGAATCCAGATGCATCTCACCCCAAGACCTATGCACTTAGTCACATACTCTACAGCTGTGCTATCCTTTCAGTCATGGAAAGACTAAAAGGTACATCGTTTAGCCAAAGACTGAAGTTGTTTTGTAGTTTCTTCTTTAAATGAGATGAAGTCTGTGAGGCACTAGGCCCGAGGCTTGGGACAAAACAGCTGCTAAATATATTATAACTCATTTTCTTTTTTTGAAGCTGGTAACCCACAACTTACATAATTCAGAACAGGAGAACTTTAAAATAGTCACTGCAGCCAAAGTTCCTTCAAATCTGTCAAATAAGGTATATAACCAATCCACCACACAACAATGTGAAGTAAATACAATGAGCTCATGTGCACAGTGAAAGTAGTGAAGACACGATTTAAACATGTAATGGAAAACAACCGGTGAGGGACGGTGAGGGAGCCTGAAGGTGGCTGTTGAACTGGTTTTGTTTTGACTCTTGAGAGGATTTAATTATGTGCCCTCCTGGGCTTAGAGAGGAACAGAACCTCTCTCCCTCCTCAGTGCTTCCGTTGTTGGTCCAGACTTCTGGCCCCTTCTCTGCTTGCGCTTGGGCCATGAAGGAAGAAACCTGGACAAACATCAACACATATGTGTTCAGCTTCGCATAAGCTTGCCACTCCTGTTCCACCAACCAACCTTCTTTCCCTTTCTCCCTACCCTGGCGTGTGGGTGCCTCCTCAAAAGGCTTGTGTTTTCTGCCTTAGCACTCTACATGGTCATCCAGGGGCCTGAAAAAGTTCATGAGCTCCCCAAGTGCCCACTTTGCTGCTAGGAAATAAATCCAGAAACTGTCCTTAGGAGATGCTGCCTCTCATGCTGTACATGCCTCAGTGTCTATTTTTTCTTGTGTGGGTGTGGTTGGGAAAGGAAGACTTTGTAGAGAGAGACTAGCTTCTGAGCTTTAAGTTAAAAATCAGCACAACACTGCAAGCCAAGGAAAACCTGGCGGCACATTTTAGTTGCTGGTTTGGTAACTAGGCTTTTAGCCAACCAAAAGCAGTATCCTCCACAGTATTTAATTTCCAGTAATTATAATGCTGATCCAGAGCACAACGCTGACAGTACCCCAAACAGATACTCTTTCTTCAGGAATCGTATTTAGCATAGGTCCCTAGTCACACATGAAGAATCACGGAATTTATCTGATTGCATCAGCAACAGGAAATCAACAATCTGGTTGACAGGATGGACTTATTTCTGGTTCTCCCAGCCTCCTATTTCTAAAAAAAGAGACTAATTTGATTCCTCTAAGACTCTCCATTCTTCATCAGAACGTTGCCATAAGTCACAAATAAGTACTGGGCCCCTGAAGACACGGGTGGGGAGGGGGGCTAAAGAACGAGGGTGGGAAGATGTGCAGCCCTTGACCTCTGGGCCTTTTCTTGCTTCTCTGAGCCTCAGTTTACTTAGCAATAAAAACAAGGAGAATACTGCTGATATTTCAGAGTTATGGTAGAGCAGGGCTTAACTAAGATTTCCCAAATGTGGAAGCTCTTTGCTTATCCTGTAACGTGGGGTACGTGTAAGCGTGATGCTCATTATTTCTCTCAGCCATCAGGAGGCAGGCACAGTTTCTCCGTCTCCCTTGATTCCACACAAACACCAGCTGTTCATTTCAGAGTTAGCTACAAGAAAATGTCATCTGCAATAAAGGCAGAGTCTAAAATACCGGAGTAATGGACTCTTTAGTGGCTGTTGGTTTTAACTTTGTGTTCCAAAATACGGCCATTCCAAAAAAATCTTGATCTTGGCTTTTCTTCTTTTAGTCCATCCTGGAATGGCCTCGGAAGCATCCCGAGCACAGATATCTACAAAAGTACCAAGAATTACAAAAATGTAAGTGTCTTTGTGAGACATTGTCTGGACTTGGGTTTATTAGCCTAAAATTTCAGGAGCTGCATATTTCTATTTTAGTATGTAAGGTACAAGGTAACTGAATGGGAGACTTCTGTTGGGAAATCCATTAGTACACAGGGTATGTCATGAGAACTTTGACCCAAAGTACCTTCTAATATCCATGGCTTATATGAATTTTGTCCATGCCAGCTGAATGTCATTTTAATGTAAAAGCATTGTAAGAGGGATTTAAATGTAATAAACATATTAGATTACTTCCAGATGTTCAACCAAAATTTTATTTCTCTGCTATATAATCCTTATCCTCTATGAAATTGCCTAAAATCCTTTTAAGATTTTCTTCATCCAGTCCTAACAAGAGATTTTCAAGTTCTCTGTCACCAAGACCTTATTTGACATCTTGCTTTATCCTTGGAGTTGAAAGAAATAATATATGACATGGGAAATGAAAAACAAATTAAACATGATGGGCTTGTATTGCCTGCAAATAAAATTGCTTAGTGATGACTGGGGAAACAAAGATGAAAAAGCAGAGAAGGTAAATTAAGAAAACACACATTTAGAAAAAAAAATTTTAATGTGAACCCTAGGAAGTTGTAGTGCAATTTTACCTCAATATTTAAAAAATGCTGGATACTGAACCTAAAATTTCAGTAGCTGCTACTTAATTTATTTCCACAACCTGTCTGTTACATTGAGCCAAGTGCCATCAAGACCTAAAAATGATTTTAGAGAATTTTTTTTACTCTGGGGCAGGGACCGTTAGACTGGGTTTGGGAGTTCTGAATTCTAGGCTCCATCTTGTTGAGACCTTGCCTAAGTCACTCAGTCCTTTGTGGCCACAGTTCTCTCATTTGACACAGCTAGACTCAAATTGCCGTGATTTCTAGAGACTAAAAAAGTCTATGGTTCTGTGATTCATGGGTTCTACTTTTGGTGTGGCCATTGTATATTAGGGGACAAGCAATGACATCATAGGCATTAGTTCCTGCAAATCCCTTGATTTTGCTATTTTTTCTTTGTTATTTTTAAATAATTTTAGCAAAATCAAGAGAGTCGATGGTATGAACTTGAGGCAAATCTTGTTGCTGTTCTGAGCCCATTTCTAAATCTGGAAATCAGAGAGTTGAATAATTGCCTTCTAAGGCCCTTTTGAACTTTGATCTTCTATGGATCTGTGGAGGTCCAAGACCTCCACTGGGATGGTCTCCAACCATTGATTCTCAACTGGAATGAAACCCCTACTCAAGAAAAGCCAAGTGCTGCTGCCCAGTTCCTTGAAGCAACAGTGACTTGGTTCCTTGTTGGATAACCAGAAACTTAATGAAATATTTGAGACCTTTCCAAAAAATTAGCCAGGTGTGGTGGTGCATGCCTGTAGTCCCAGCTATGTGGGAGGCTGAGGCGGAAGGATTGCCTGAGCCCAGGAAGTGGAGGCGGTAATGAGTTGTGATTATGCAACAGCACTCCCGCCTGAGCAGCAGTGAGACCCTGACTCAAAAAAAAAAAAAAAAAAAAAAAAAATTCAGACCTGAAATTTTTCAATCTCAATTTTTTTTAATGCCAGATTGAAGAACCTGAAGGAGTGAAGATTCTTAGATTTTCTAGTCCTATTTTTTATGGCAACGTTGATGGTTTTAAAAAATGTATCAAGTCCACAGTAAGTATTTGATCCCTAGAGATTTGGTTTCTCACCTCCTTTGAGACTTCCTTCATTCTGCAAGTGTTTATTGGGCTCCAACTGGGAATAATCCCCTATCTTATTTCTTTTGTGTGGGGCATTAAGAATTGTTAATATACCATCCTTGCCTTCAGATAATGTTTACAACCTGTTTGGGAATAGAAAAACACACATTAAAATCCAGGTAGCAAAACTATGCCAGAAAAAAACATTAGGGATGTCTCCAGGCAGAATTTGAGTAAGTTCCAAAAAAGTAGCATAGACAGTAAGTGATAAGAGTTCATAGGAAGAAGAGATCTGTGTTAGCTGGACAAATTCAACTTTATGCAGTAGTTTGTGGAAGGAAAGAGAATATGTCAGATGTTTGGGAACTATGGGAGCTGAGAGGAGAAAGTAGAAACTTGTATTTGAGGGAAGGTTGCCCAATGGGAGCAAAGAGTAAAAAGTACTAGTAGAATAAATAAGTAGGAAATGCTGGTCTTGAATGCCACATTATGCTTTGAACTTGGAGTTTGCCTTTAGATCAGTGTTTTCCTAAGAGTCCCAGGGCAAACTGGTTCAGAGGAATGTTCATGATTTTGCAATAACAAAAGGGCTCTGTGATGCCAAGGGAATTTGGAAAACACAGACTTAAAGCTAAAGAGGTTATTGTTTTTATTATTATATTTATTTGGTTGTTTGCTGTTTTGTCTTTTACTGTCTTAGAACCTTTAATAGGCTACTACCTTCCCTGAGTCTCTGGATAGGGGTCCCATGGCCTGGTAATGGAGGAGGATAATCCATTAGACCTCATAATTTCTAATTTGGCAGGATGTCTCAAAGGAATTATAAATTTTGAGAACTAACCTTTCCAGATACCAATCGCCATTAATAAGCATTAGGAACCAGGCATTGTACGTAACTTCACATTTATTTCCAAAGGTTGGATTTGATGCCATAAGAGTATATAATAAGAGGCTGAAAGCACTGAGGAAAATACAGAAACTCATCAAAAATGGACAACTAAGGGCAACAAAGGTGAGACAACATCTTTCTTTCCCCTTTAAATTATTTCCTTTCTCTGATGAAAGCAGTCAGATGGTCTAAAATTAAATCTATCCCCTTTGGTATCCAGATGTGTACAAGCAGATGGCATATGTATGTCAGAGAACAGCTGAACTATTCTTGTAGGCAAGAGGGAATGGGAGGAAATAAAACGAAATCAGCAGAGCTCCCTGGATACACAGGATGTGATTTTTTTTTTTTAACACCATGAGAGCATCTGCATTATTTTCTACAACTTATTGTTACTGGAAGGAATAAAATAAATGCAAATTCAGTGCCAGAAAATTACCCATAATAGAAAGCAGTAAGTTCATAGACTTTTAGAGGTATTAACTTTTACTCAGACTCTCCTGCCAACGCATTTTTGGGCAATGTTCCATAATTTTCCAGAAAACAAGTGTTCCCTGGCTCCTCTGTTCTTTCACTTTTCTTCCTAGAGAACATCAAAGTTTGGGCTGAGGTGGAACTCATCCTTCAGAGCGCATTCACATGATGTTTTGCTTATCAAGGAACAGCGTGTGTAGGACTTTTGAATAATTTGAGATGAATGACTGAAAGACATTTCAAATCATTGGCAATTAAGTTGACAGTGTTTTCTTTATTTAGAATGGCATCATAAGTGATGCTGGTTCAACAAATAATGCTTTTGAGCCTGATGAAGATATTGAAGATCCGGAAGAACTTGATATCCCAACCAGGGAAATAGAGATTCAAGTAGATTGGAACTCTGACCTTCCAGTAAAAGTGAATGTTCCCAAAGTGCCAATCCATAGCCTGGTGCTTGATTGTGGCGCTATATCCTTCCTCGATGTTGTTGGAGTGAAGTCCTTGCGGGTGGTAAGATTCTGATTTTCTGAATTATAGCGATGGAGCTTTTAGCAGTAGTGAAATGATATGGGCTGTCCAGTCTTGCAAAAGGGCAAATGCATGACCTCTGTAATATTTTAAATAACAATGTAATGTTTTAAAGCATAGGCTTCAGAGCCAGACTATCTGGGGCAAATCCTAGCTATAGCTATCACTTATTAGCAGTGTAACCATTGGCAACTTGCTTAATCTATCTGTACCTCAATTTTTTAATCTGTGATGTGGTGGTAATGTGCTATTTCTTCATCTTCATGGGGTTGTTATGAGTATTAAATAAGCTAGTAGATATAAGGGGTTTAGGAGAGCATCTGGCACCTAGCAAATATTAACATGTATTGCGTTTTATTTTCTGAGAATATACAAGAATATTCCCCCAAAAGCTGGAATTATCTTTTGGAGGGCAGGCCCCTTATAATGCAGGCTTCTTCCACTAGGTAAGTGTTCTAGGAACCCATCATCGTCAGCATTCCAGCTAGTGTTGTTGTGAGAAGCTGTGTTCAGTTTCAGTGAATTTTTTTTCTGTGTGTGGAGATTCTTTCAATTCATTTGCCCATTTCCTGATGGGTGATTTACGAGGGCACCTGCCCGCACTGCACTGAGCGCTCAGCAGTTTTTGACCACAAAGGGCATGACCCCCATGCTCCACCTTCCTTGTTCACCTGATCTCACCCTGAGCAACTTTTTCTTGTTTCCTGGATGAAAAAAGTCCTCAGGGGGCTTTTGCTGATGTGGAAGAGGTGAAACAAAAAATGACAGAAGCACTCAACAGCATCAAAATTGATGAGTTTAAAAACTGACTTGAGCAGGGAAAAAATTATTTTGGTAGGAATATTGCATCAGAAAGAAAGTACTTTGAAGGTGAATGAAGTTTAAATATGTAAGAACAAATACACAATTTTTTATAAATAAATTCCGGTTTGGGGGAGGCCCCCCTCATATATAGCATGAAATATGAAAAAAAAGAAAACAATGAGCAACAGCATATGCTAGGTATTATATTTCTATGTGATATGTGAACAACAACAAGATAAGCAACACCAGGTACACGGTAGGACTGGAAAAGTCAGGCATTATCAAGAGGTTAAGATAGGAAGCAGGTCAGGCATCTAGGATATCATACAAAGAGTTGAGAAGCATGCAGAATAGAAACATTCATAATATCAGACAGCAGTTACGAAGATTAAGTTCATTCATTCTTTCAACAAAGAGCTGTGAAACACCTAATATGTACTAAGCACTTCTGTCAGGCACTAGGGACTAGTGATAAAGGAGCCATCATTTCTACCTTCATGGGACTAAGTAAACTCAAGGGAAGGCAAACATAAAACAATCTTCTACATAATAACTATATGAAGTGCTCCAAAGCAGACTGAATAGGATACCACCTGAAGCGTCAAGCTTAGGTGAAGCTTCATATAGGTTATCAAGAGGCTGAAAAGTAAGCAGGTTCAAGTCACCACCAGTCAGATGTAATAATATGAAACTGACTCCCAACTGAGGTTTAGCTTAGCTGGGGGCTTCTTGACTACCTCTGTCAGGCAGGAAATTATTCCAGGATGTGGGTACGAGGCAGGTAAGGTATGATTATACTTGGCAAAAGAGTGTGAGAATATGCTGACAAGTCCTTTTCCAGTTCTCTTAGCAAATGGGTTATTAGCTCATTTGAAAACATACTCTTGTTCTTTGTTGTACATTTCACTCTAGGCACTGGCTCAGTTTCATTGTAGATTGTGGCCAAAAGGTTTAATGAATTACTTTTGGGGAAAGTCTTAACATATTTAGTGCCAGAATATTTTCCACACAACAAATATTTGCTTTCAAATATTATAATGACAATTATGAAAACTAAAGAAGACTCCAAACTTTATCCTTGAATAGAGATCTTGTTTTTCTCCACAAATTTCAAGTTCTATTTTATTATTGCCCATAGGTCTTATGTCTCGACTTTTTTAAATTAAAATTTTTATATTGAGATAATTGTAAATGCACAGGAAAGGAATAATAGAGAAAGCCTATGTGCTCCTTACCAAGTTTCTCCTAATTACTAACATCTTATAAAATTTTATTATAAAATCACAATCAGGAGGATAATGACATCGATACATTCAAAACAGAGGCTGTGATTTTTAGGTCAGTTTTAACATTCTCAATCTGCTCATCATACTCACACTCAGATTGCTTCCACTCAAAGACAGAAACTCATGCCCTTTTCTCCAATCAGCAGGGACTGTATTAGGAAACTTCTTGTGCTCCCTTCTTTCCAAATCTCTGCTACAGCAAATCTCTGCTACAGAGTGCTGAGCTATTGAGCACTGGATGCTGCCATCTCTTGAGATATGGTCTTTTCACCCCTAATTATACCATCCCTGTAGGCGGAAAGCCTCTAAAGTTTTCCAATAATAAACTTTCCTCAAAGTCCTGATTAACCATGAAATTATTGATGTTTCTCCTGAGCAAGTAATTAAATGAAAGTGAATTATGGGCAGATAAAATTATTCATTGTTATAAACTGTCCTTTTTTATTTTTAGATTGTCAAAGAATTCCAAAGAATTGATGTGAATGTGTACTTTGCATCACTTCAAGGTAAATGCATACACCTACATATCACCTGTAAGATCTTCCCCTAAGCCCTTTCTCCTACTTTTGGAATGTGGGTACATCGTATCGGAAGGCCTTTTTGTTTTCTTTTAAAGATCTCAATTGGCTTTATTCATGATTCTAGAACTGACCAATGCATCCTATCATAAAATAGAATAAGTGTTCCAATGAGCTGAGCAAAAGAGGTTGGTTTTACAGACAAAGAAGGGCTGAAGAAAACAGCAGCAAAGAACAAAGACTATATTAGTCCTTTCAAAGAGATTTTTCTTGTAAGGCAGGGACAGGGAGACAGAACAATAGAAAAATAACTGATTAGTTAATATCAGGTTATGTCAGGCTGCCTTTTTAATGTAAGGATTACAGCAGAGAGAACTTCAACATCATGCCAACTGGAAATTTAAACTGGCCTGTTTGGGAAATTAGCTGTTACCTCTCTCTCCTGATTTCTTGAAAGGTCAGATAACAACTTAATTTAGATTTGGTAACTTGGATCGTTAGTATGGGTGACTTCATTTTGATTTTTGGTCTGGTCTGTTGATTTTTGGTCTGGTCTGTTAGGTCTGGTCTGGTCTGTTAGTACAGGAGCTGTGTCTAAAACAATGGCCTTTTATTTTTATTTTTTATTATTTTTCTTCCTCCCTCCTTTTCTTTTGAGTTGGGATCTCCCTCTGTTGCCCAGGTTGGAGTGCAGTGGCACGGTCATGACTCACTGCAGCCTCGACCTCCTGGGCTCAGGTGATCCTTCCACCTCAGCCTCCTGAGTAGCTGGGACTACAGGCACATGCCACCATGCCCAGCTCATTTTTTAAAACTTTTTTGTAGACACGAGGTCTTACTATGTTGCCCAGGCTGGTCTCAAACTCCTGGGTTCAAGAAGTCCTCCCACCTTGGCCTCCCAAAGTGCTAGAATTATAGGCATGAGTCATCACACCTGGCTTACTTTTTCTTTTTGTTTGATCCTGTGCCTTGTGTGGCCCCAGGTTGAACACAGCTGCCCAGCCAGCCCCCAGGCTGCTGAGGGCTCGCTGCTCCACTCCTCTGTTCTGGCTGCCATGAGCAGCTGAGCTCCAGATAGGCAAAACTTGAGGAGACTAAAACAATGGACTTTAATAATTTTTATTTACTGATTCCCCTTTTTTAACTAGGCTCTCACCTCTGCAAGAGTGGAACCAAAACTTAGCACATCAGCACTACTCTCAGTTAGAATCATTGTAGGTGATGGTGTCTTCCTTATTATTATGAGTTTTTTTGAGTTTTTTTTTGTTCCAGAGAGAGGCCATTGGATGTTTGACAGATGGTTATATGGAGACATTTAAAACTTTGAGAGGATATAGTGCATCAGGAAGACTACTATTATGATTATCAGGAAGATAATATTAAGAGTTTGTAGGTCGAGCATGGTGGCTCACAGCTATAATCCCAGCACTTTGGGAGGCTGAGGTGAGAGGATTGCCTGAACCCACGGGTTTGAGACCAGCCTGGGCAACTTGGCAAGACCTCATTTCTACAATAAATCAAGAAAAATTAGGCTGGTGTGATGGTGCATGCCTGTAGTTCCAGCTACTTGGGAGGCCAAGGCGGAAGGATTGCCTGAGCCCAGCAGGTTGAGACTGTGGTGTCCATGAACATGCCACCGCACTCCAGCCTGGAAGACAGAGTGAGATTCGGACTCAAAAAAACCCAAGAGCTTGTAGCATGCTCTTTGGCAGTCACCATGCACCAATCCAACTTAAATTGAATAGCCAGATAAGGAGTCTAGTATTTTAACCAAGTAGTCTTCTCTACAATCCCTGATATATTTATCTATGTGCAACAAGAAGTGTCATCAGCTGTACAGATTCCCCCCTCCTTAGTCAGCAGGTAATCTAGCATCTCATAATTGGTCTACATTAAAATAGAGAATGTAAGTTATCCACAGAAGCTACTGATTGTGAAATTTTGAAATCAGAGCGTTATCTTGCCAAGTGAATGAGGTAGACATAAGTAAGGAAAAATTAAGAGGAATAAGAGTCTTATTATGATAGGGAGTCCTGCTTTGATGGTCTTGAAGCTGTCCACAGCATGAAGTCGGCAACTTCTTGTCCTAGTTTGCAGTTTGATTACCTCCGCTTATGGCATCAGGTGTTCTGGTAAACTCTCTGTGTGGCTCATGCATCAAGCATAAGATTTGTCTCTTGAAATTTCCACTAAGTTGTTCAGCTTCAGCTTATGGGGCTTTAGAGACTGAGCACTTCTCATACTTCATTGAAGAGTTGTAGCTGGATATTAATGAAAACTAGAGGAATGAAGATTCCAGTCAAGTCTATCTACAGGGAGATAATAAAAGCTCAAAGACAATGAACAGGGCTACAGTCTAATTACAGGTATGCTATGGTTTTATTTTGAAACTGAATTTTTCTCTCTATAGTCACCCCCATTTCTACCAGTGATAATCATAGTAAGGCCTTCTTGTTTATAAAATAAGGTTAATCTCATACTTAGCCTGGTTATTTACACAGTGTAGCATGAATAACTACACAGGCTCCCTTTAAATTTGCTTTGCCAAGCCAGGTGCAGTGATGCATGCCTGTAATTCCAGCTACTTAGAAGGCTGAGGGAGGAGGATTGCTTAAGCCCAGGAATTTGAGGCTACAGTGTACAGTATGATCATGCCTGTGAATAGCCACTGCACTTCAGCCTGGGAAATATTATGAGACCCCATCTCTTAAAACATTTTTTTGCTTTGCTTGAAATTTTGACAAGGAATCGCAGGTCAGAGTTTTTAAAACTTCTCAATTCTAGGAAGCCAACCCAAGGCAGACTTTAGACTTTACCTGATATATCTAATGTCTTGAGGTTCCTAGGCCTACCAGAAAGGGAAACCTTTTTACTCACTCACTGTAAGACTGGATGCCCTTAAAGCCAATCATTCTATGCATATTTTAAAATATGATATTCTAGTCAAAGCCTTGGTATCAATGTTTTCCTATTGTATTCTGTTAAAGAAACACAAACATATTCTTATTGAATTTATACAAATAATCATATTGCCATAAACACGAGAATATTCAAGAAGAGTTTCCAAATTCTGGAGGAATCTGGTAGAGCAGTAGTCCCCAACCTTTTTGGCATCAGAGCCTGGCTTCATGGAAGACAGTTTTTCCACGGACTTGGGTGGGAGGGAATGTGCAGCCAAATCTCCCTGTTAATGTTCATCTGTATCTGCAGCCACTCTCCAATGCTAGTATCACCACCTCAGCTCCTCTTCAGATCTACCACTGATCTGACAGAAGGTGGAACTCAGGCAGTAATGCAAGTGATGGGGAGTGACTGTAAATACAGATGAAGCTTTGCTGGCTCTCTCACCACTCACCTCCTGCTGTGTAGCCCAGTTCCTAACAGGCCAAAGACCTGGTACCAGTCTATTCCTGAGGCAGAAAGGAAAAGAAAATGTTTCAATTTTTGTTTACAATTTTGTTTATAAAAATATACTTTATAGGGGCACCCCCTTCAGGCCCCCTCCCACTGTGGGAGCTTTTCTGTCCTCAAAGATTCTGCTTTCTCACTTAAAAAAAATAAAATAAAATAAAAATGCTTTACCAAATGACTGTAAACTATATATAATTTTTAAAAATCTCCTTAAATCTGGAAAACAAAACATTAAAAGAATCAGTAATCTTTCACATTTAAAAAACAACCATAAAAACCCACAGTTTTTCTTTTTCAGTTCATTCAGTCTCATGTATTTAATTCTTGCTCTGTTTGATCTTGGTTAGCAGTTTAATTTGGTCAATGGTATGAGTTTAATGTTATTAGAAACCTGTATTTGTTTCAGTTCTTTTCTTTTCTTTTCTTTTTTTTTTTTT